CGCTTGCGAGTAATTTGTTGGCAAAATAACCTTGTGTTTCTTATTAAAAAAATATAAATATTCTTCATTGAGGAATATAACATGAAAGCTAACCTTCAACAAGGTTCCTTACTAAAGTGCTGTTTTGTACCATTGAATCGAGCCCTTGTTTAGAATTCATGACTGCTTTGATGCAATTAACACATTCAAGTTGCAGAAACGCCTCGACAAACGCCATTCTTCCACCTCGACTTAATCTTTCCAAAGCTTGAAAGAGCACTTCCATACCACCTTCAGAGAGAAATTCCGCGATCCATTCCGGGGAGCTTGTTTGAAGTTTTGTCTTGAGCCCCGAGAAATTTCGTAGACACGAGGAACTGAGCAGTCGAACGCAAAGTTCGGCCGAGACATCGGTGGAAATGGAAAAGTTCTCGATTTGTTTTCCATCAGTGGTGCAGTTGAACTGCTGGCGAACTACAGTCCACCTCTTCGCCACTTTAACATTTGCCATCACTGATAACGGAGTTGGAACAGCGAGCAATAAAGTTGCCGCAACCAACCAAAATATATCAACAACCCGTTTGCGGTCAGCGAAAAAAACCCTTTCAAAGTCATTAACCACCTCCAGGAATGCTTTAGATTTTATAAGACTTACTAGTTCCTCCGTAACAATTAACAACGCTAACAAAGTCTCTCGTGTTGATATGACATGTCATCGGCCCTTGTAGCAATAAATATACTCGGAATGATTAAAACTTGCCACGCAACCCTTGCCTCGAAACGATGTTCGATAATCTTGATGCACCCAAAAAAAAATTCGGTTCGTTGGCGGATGAATGGACTCCGTCCAAGTTATCGAGAGGCGAGACAGAATTTTTAAAATAAAGTGCAAACAATCGCTTGCAGACGTCGCAAATTGAATGGTTTGTTAATCATTTAGCCAGTGCTTTTACAGTAAAAGACCCAAATTGTAATTACAGCAGAATAGTAAATGAGCCACCCCAACTGACTTGAATGTCTCCGTTTCGTTGACTTAAAGATATGGAGATTATTTAAAAATAAAGGAAGGAATTATTCTTCACAGGTTTTGATATACAGCGTCTTGTTTTGATGAATTTCAAGTCTTTGAAACTATGAACATTTTAAAAGCGTGCATTCTGTGGGGTTCCAACTTT